TAATTGATTAAATGTGGTTAATGTGTATTACTAAATATTATTATGTGTATTATATTTAATTAAAATATGATATATATATATATATATGATAATTTCACGGTTTTATTTTATTTATCATTCGATTATTGTCGAGCCTCGATTACTCTTTATTTAATGAACCGAGTTCAGTCGAACCGCGCCCGTGTGCGCCCGACCCACGACCCATTTTCCTCTTTGGCTTGGAGAACAAGATTATGATAACCTAGAGTTATTGAGAGTGGATTTTCCTTAATCTGTTGATACCTTGCGCAGACATCCCAATATCTCTCTCATCACTCTTTCTCTCGATGGACCATCGCAGAAAAGAAAGAAAACGCGACCCTCAGCAGATTTCAAATAAATCTCGAAGCCCCATCGATGCTCTCTCCCAAATTCTGATCGGTCTTCATCTTTCTCTCGCTAAATTGTTCCCGTCACCTGCTACCATCATCGAACACTCACGCCATCATCCTTCATCAGCGCGCAAGCCACCAGAAACGCAGACCATCATCATCACCATAGTTCGATCTTCACCCTCAGTTTATCGTGAGCAGCAACCATCAGACCAGCGCAGCCCTTCCCCTGCGTTTTCCGGCGTATTCTCGAGTTCCGCGTGATCTCGCTGTCCTTCATCGCTGCACCTCGCCGCTGTGGTCCTGCTTCCGTGAAGTTTCGGCCGTCGCCTTGCTTATAGCTGCTCAACGTGAGAACCCCCTTGCAGTCCCACGTACACACGCTCCGCTGCCCGTCGCCAACACCCAGGATTCAAGTTCTTCTGGTGAGCAACCGCTGCCCCTCCATGCGACCACCTCTGACCGGCGAGAACACCAGCAGACAACCACCAAACTGCCCTCCAACCGTTGCTCGTGAGTTTCTAACCGTCGGGTCCCGTCGAGTTCCATCGGAGTGCCAAACCTAGCCGTCGAGTCCCGTCGGGTTCCGTCGGAGTGCCAAACGTCGTCGTGTCCCGTCGGAGCGCACAAATAGCCATTTTAGCCCCAAATTGCTGTCCCGAGACCTTGTCCCATCGCGCGAGCCACGTCTTGTTGCCGAGCGCGCATATTAGCCCCGATTCGACCCTTTTTCGCGACCCCGTCCCGAGAATGGTACCCGGGCTAACTCTTTACTTATTTCTTTTGTTACTATAAGTGTTTAGGTGCTCGTATGCGTGTTATATTGCTGATCGTGTGAGTTTCGAGCTAATTTCGCGCCTTAGCTATGCACTTGTGTGATTATTGGTATATAATTGCTATTTGAATATCAAAGTGATTGCCGTCACTTTGAAAAATTATCGAATTGAGGTTGATGTAGTATTTTCTGTGGAATTGTTATGGATTACTGGACTTAGGAATGTCCTTAACGCAATGGCTTTGGCCTTGTGTGGTTTCGTTATACATATTGTAAGATATGAATTTTTAAAAATCGTGTTGCAGCATATTTTTGCTAAAATCACTATAATTCGTCTATTGCTCAAACAATTCTGATTTTTGGGCATGTGGTCATGTTGCTGTTGTATTACTTGTGGTAAAGATTTGAGAAATTATTATGGCCTGTAGCCTCGTCAAAAATCGAAAACTGTTTCTAGGCTGTTTGGTAATAAATAGATATAAAATCGATTTCTTGTCCGATTTGGCTAATTTTTAGATATGTTGTTGTTCTTAATGATATCTTGTTGCTGTAAAAGTTTCAAAATAAAATTCAGATTGTAGGTATTTTAAATGAATTAATTTTAATTCTGGCCAGATTTTGCTAAATTTATCTAAATTGGTTAGGAGCATGTTTAGGGGCTTTCCATTGGTGAAAATGTGTGATTGTCAGTCCTTTATGTACTGTAAAAAATTTAAATTGAGTTGTCCAAGCCTAACTCCTTTTAGCCATATTCTTATAAATTTAACAAGTTCTTTTGACCGGTTTTGGCTTTAATGGCAAGTCCTTGACCTGATGACCTCGTTTTGTGTCAAACCTTTATTGCATGCCTTTATATAATTTATTAATTGGTTGGTCGGGTCTAGGAGTCATCCTAATGTTCTAACTCCACAACTTCCACGAGTTTCTTAGTTGATGTGATTCGACTAAGTATAATTCTCGTTATCTGTATAGAGTCGAGATAGTTGCTTATGGGACTGTCTTGACTTATGTAGGTGTCTGACGAGCAGTGTCTCAACCATCTACGACTTTCTGGTTAATTTGCTTTATACTCCGGCACCAGGTGGGTTTTGAAAACTTGGGGGGCGCTTGTTTATGGATTTTTTCAACCAAAATATTTCATTTTGTTAACTATAGTTAAAGTTGAAAAAGTAATGTGGTTAATTGTTAGTGGAATTTATAAAATATATTAAAATAATATTTAAAATAAAAATGATTAAAGTTGATTTGATATAAAGTAGGAGATAAATGATTGGAAATGATTGGTAGTAAAAATTATGTGAGTGGATGAATAGTGAATTAAAGTTGATGTGATGTGTAAGAATGATTGGTTTTTATTATTTAATTGTATGAATAATATTAAAGATAGTGGGGTTGAGTTAAAGTTGAGTTAAATATTTGAGTTGAAAAAATTGGATTGAAAAAATCCATAAACAAGCATGCCCTTGGCTATGCTGTAAATGTTAATATTGTTATTATTGTTTTACTTGTAGTATGATCAAAGTATGTATGTGGAACATGTAGCCTTTGATGGGAGCTGTAACGGCCGTCGAACGGTTATCCCCGTAACTATAGAATGACCCCAATGGGGTAATCTCCTCTTTATGTCCTTGTGAATGACACGTCGCTTGAGACCAAGGTCGTGCTCGGTCAGCGATAAGTACCCCGATGTAAGTCCGATGGCGAGGTCGGGCCTTCGGGGGAGACTCCTACTGGCTGGACACTCGTTGTAAGACCAGAAGGCTGAGGGCCATGGCTTTCAATATATAGTCGGCACTAGTCTATTGATATAGGTGTGCACATGAGAACGGACATGGGATAGGAGGTTGGGATAACTAGTTAATTAACGTATACATGTATACATGTTGTGACCATACTTGTTTTATTTATGATTAATATTTCTGCATAGTGGTGAGCACTACTGTTTACTTTTGTGCTCATCCCCACCTGCTCTTCATGGATGCAGATTAGTATTGCAGTCACGACAGAGGAGGCGAGTGGTGGTCATGTTATTGGTTTCATTTCGCTGCTATGAACTGCTTAGATTGTTTATTGCATTTCTAGATTTATGATGATTACCAAATTATTGATAGGGAGTGTACTCCCTAGTATTTATGCATTTGTGAAAACCCAATTTTTGGGAGATTAATGTTATTGTTGAACCCGGTTTGGGTGTTGATTCGATTTATGAATCTGTTTGGGAGTTATATTTTTGATGTAATGGAAAATAGTTTTTCAATTAGTAGCGCCGCTAAGTGTTTTTAGGAAATAAAATTTGGAAAATTTATTTTGATTCTCGTTAAACAAAAGTGGGGCATTACAAGCTTGAAAGAAGTTGCAGCAGGCAAACGACGTAAAGAATGTGGCGCAGCGCGATGGCCCTGACTGCTGCGACGTGGCAGAGGTTCGCGGCGTGAAAGGGGCGAGCACCGTGGCGCGGCGGCGCTTCGCGGCGCGATGGGAGCAGTTTTGGCGTGGAGCAGCGGAGGATGGCGAGGCGTGGGAGCTTTTCAACATCGTGATGCATGAACAGTGCGCAGCAGGAGGACGGTGGCAGCTCGGTGCGGAGATGACAGGTAGTGAACGGCGCCAGCGAGGTTTCTCGTGGCTGCTAGAGGTCTGATTTTTTTATTTGCTCGCTGAAAGACTACATCGCACTCGGCTGGGCCCAGTTGACAGATAAGTTCAAGGATGCTAGAGAAAATAGGGATAATCGGACAGAAATCGAGTGTGGCGGGATGAGAGCTTCTGCTGCGTCTCTGTATGATGACCCGAGGCTGAGCAATGGTCGGTGGAGGCTCGATGAAAGACGGAATGGGTGACCAAATGTCGTGATCGCCGGAGGTCAAAGAGCTCGGGTCTGACTTGCATCACCTTTTGCTTTGAGTTGTTCGTTTGGGAACCGAATTCGACTTTATTTTTCGCCAAATCAATTTCCTCACTATATCAAAGTCAGCCAAGGACTCGACCTGCACACCACATACGAAGAAATACCGAAAATCGACAAAAAATTATAGAAAATACTCAAGCTAAAGGAAAATACATAAAAAAGATACTAAGAGACCTAATATGAGGGGAAAAAAAAGAAAATTAATAACAAAAAACGTAACAAAAATGAGACAAACATCGTGCTTCTCATTTCATGTTTTGTAGACCAATTATAGTTTTTGCACGTATATGTAAATGAGGAGGTTTGACTCGAGTAATCATGTGTGGAATGACTTGGGATGAATTTTTGTTTCGTGTGGATTTACTATGTGGGGACCGTGTTTTTGGATTGGATTTTGATTTTATGGATAACCGGATGATAATGAGAGTTTCATTTCACATGCTCGTTAATTTTAGATCATTTGATTTTTCTTTTCGAGCTACTTGTTGTTTTGTTTGCTTGAGGACAACCAAAGAGTTAAGTGTGGGGGAGTTGTTTGTTATGTTTTTGTGCTTATTTCTATACCCATGAAAATATATGCACAAGTGGAAGAAGCTAACAAATAGTAATAGACAATTGATACTTCAATTTCAAACCACACATTAACAAATAAGCTACCTATCATTCATCATCATACCTGGAGTTCTGAAAACATTCCGGTGGATTGAAGCCCGACGATAATGCTCGAACAAAGCCTGGAAAGATCGTAGCTAATCCACAGTTAGCCAATCTCGGCTCAAACTCAGAGTCCAATATCACATTCGAGGGCTTCAAGTTACAGTGTAATCTTCTTGGATCACAGGAAAAGTGTAGATAATTCAGCCCTTTATTAATCCCAACCGCTATCCTTAGACGAAATTCCCACTTAAGCTCCAACTGATTTTCCCTCACTCTTTTCATCACATCCTCAAGACTTCCCATCAGGCACATAAACGTAAACCAATGAGTAAACTCCCGATTCAAACACATAAGCCCTCAAACTCATCAAATTCCTCTGCCTCAGGCATGCCAGTTTACTGAACTCTTGCAGTATCTTTTTCTTGCTGTGGGCTTCAGAAGACACGCAGGAAAACGGGCCGAGTCTCTTGACTGCAACATTGAGGCCATTTTCGAGCACTGTCTTATAATAGATTCCGTTCGGACTCGACCCGAGCAATTGGGGGTCGTTACAGAGGGCTAAATTGAGCGTCCTTCGAGAAATGCTTGGAAAAAAATGACGAGGCCAACTTTGAGAACTGGGTTTCGATTAATGTGTCTAACAAAGTACCTCAAGAGCAAAGCAAATAAGAGGGCACAAGGCAAAACTGGAAGCTCATGATAATGCATTAAATAACTATAATTACACTAAATAGTTGAAATCATAATCAAAATTGATAATCATACAGATAAACCCAAATCCATCAAAGTGATAATTAATGCAAAAAAAAATATAAAAATTTGTCAAAACTAAAAATTTCACAAATTGAAGGGACCTGTCAGGAGAATAATCGAGCCCTAATCGAAATTAGAGGGATTCGAAACTCCCAATTCGGAGGCTAAAACCCTAATCAAATTAGGGATAAAGATGTCACCACACGGCGACGATAAATGGGCGAGGCGAGGGAGAGAACAGTCGGAATGCAGGTGAAATCGCCAGATCTCGTTTCCGTCGGGTCGAATAATTTAGCCATGCCTGGAGGCTCGTCCGTCTGCACTGGTAGCTCGCCTCGGTGGAAATAGAGCTCCTTTTTGGGTGCTCGGGTGGTCGGCGAAAGATTTGAGAAGATGAGGGCGATTTGATGGTACGTCGAAATAGTGTCTGGTTCAGTGGATGAGGATTCTCAGTGAGGTAACTTGTGCGGGAAATGGGGAAAGTGACAGACAAAAAAGTCACGACTGATATAATCTTCAATACATAAAGTCAATGGCAAAACTGTAAATAATGGACAAAAGAAAGGACATTTTCGTCCGTAACTGCCACGTGTCAGCACCAAAATAGCTCTCCATTGTTGCCTTATATGTATTGTAGAGATATATATATATTTATATATACATATTAAGGGATTGGATCCAATGAGTACACATATTTAAAGTGTGAATGTGAGACTCATTCCTAGCCACTAGATTGGTACATGATGTGTGGCCAAGATTTAACTCTTCATTTAAATAATAATTCTTTATTTTTATTATTTTAATTATTTAAATATTATTTTGACAATTGACCATTGACTTCGGCGTTGACCGTTGACTTCCGGCATTGACTGTTGACTTCCAGTGTTGACCGTTGACTTCCGGCAAAAAATCGTTGACTCCGGCGTTGACCGTTGACTTCCGTCGTTGACTTTGGCGTTGACCATTGACTTCCGGCGTTGACCATTGACCCCCTAGTCTACATGTTGTATGAAATAAATATGCATACAGTACTATGCACTTAGTATGAACTAAATATGCATAAGAAATGAGTTATATATGTCATCCTTATGAACTAAATATGCAGCAATAATATCAACTATGTATGCACTGTTTATGTACTAAATATGCACATTTTACTAACTAAATATGCATCAGGAATGAACTAAATATGCAACGAAAATATGCAATAAAATATACATTTTATACAATTAAATTAAATATAATAATTAATGATTTTTTATTATATAATTAATTTTAATTTTAAATTGATTAATAACACAAATACATTGTTATGATTGGATCTCAAAATAAAATATGTATGCACTGTTCATGAACTAAATATGCATTTCGTAAGAACTAAAATATGTATCATGAATTAAGTAAATATGCATAATAATTAATTATATAAATATTATTATATATTTAATTTAAATATAACAAATATGAATTTCGTATTAACTAAATATGCATCATAAATTACCTAAATATTCATAAAAAATTAACTAAATATGCATCATAAATTACCTATATTTTTTTTTTCCGAAACGATAGATCAATATATATCATCAAATGTACAATAATACAAACCGGGATCTAACTAGACCCAATAAAGGAGAGACACCTCCAAGAGAGTGCTCTAGAAATAAGACCACAAGGAATCTAAATCAAAGACAAGAACTTAAAGTACATGTTAAGGCCAACTGCAACATTGTAATCCTTAACATCACTATAAGCACTCCAGACCAAACACATTAGTACAGCAAACCACTACTGCAGCATCAACACAACCCTAACACTACACAAAAATAAGAAGAAACAAGCCAAACTGAGCAAAGATCCCAAGCAAGCAGACAACATCCAACTATGAAGCAGAAGCACCCACTGAAACACAAGTAACCTAGGCCCACCCTTCTTCAATCCAGAAAGCAGCCAGCTAGCTCTTTTTCCTTGCAGCAAACTCCTGCCAGTCCTGCATTGCTAGCTTTGCTATACAATGTGGTGGCAGCCACTCCTTTTTTAACAGCCATAAATTTTTGGCCTTCCAAAGACACCACAGAATGTATGTGGTAAGCTCAATCCTAGCTTCAGAAACCTCCAACTTATTGATAGAACAAACATCCATCCACCAGGTTCTAAATTTTGTGTGATCTGCAATGGCAATGTCCCAGTGAATAGGAGAAAATTTCCATACCTCTTTAGATTTCTTGCAGTTGAAGAAGATGTGTTCCACAGATTCAGTGTCTTCCCCACATGATTGGCAGATAGCATCCACAAACAGACCTCTTTTTCTAAGGGCAACTTTGACAGGAAGAGCCTCAGAGAAGCATTTCCAAAGGAAATGTTTCAGCTTGCCTTTGACATTTAATTTCTAAGTTCTGCTTTGCACTTTTCTCATGATTCTTGCAGAAGAGCTACCCTCAGCCACATCCATATTTTTGAATTTATCCTCCACCATATTAGAATAAGCATTGGCAACAGAGAACACCCCTTTAACATCATTGATCCAAGTCCATCTATCCTTCTTTTGAGGGTTCATATTTTTAATCTTGAGGATCTTTGCACAATCTTCCTCATTGAAAAGTTTTCTGATCAAAGTGACATTCCAATGCCTCCCACCCTCTTCCATAAGTTCACTAACCCATTGAATGTTGGCAGCCGAGCTCTCAGCAGTGTGAGTCTTTGTCAGATTAGTAGAACAAGCCCAAGGGTCCTTCCAAATGTGAGTTGACAACCCATCTCCAATTTCCATCTGAAAGCAGTGCTTATACCTTTCCTTAACTGACATCCAAGTGGACCATAACCAAGACGAGTTGTTCTTGACTGAAACATGAAAAATGTTCTCATTGGGTAAATATTTACCTTTCAACAACTTGCTCATCAAAAGATTAGGAGATGTAGCAACTCTTCATAGTTGTTTTAGAATCAGTGCATCATTGAAGAGCTGCAGATCATGAAACCCAAGGCCACCAAGGAGTTTAGGGAGAGTGACAAGAGACCACTTCTTCCAATGAATGCCAGCAGTATGATCTCCACCACTACTCCACCAAAATCTGGCACAAATAGCAGCAATTTCCTTGCAGGTGGATTTAGGTAATGCAAAGCAGGACATGCTGAAGACAGGAAGGGCAGACAACACTGAGTTAATAAGGACAGCCTTGCCCGCAGTTGATAAAAAATTATTTTTCCAGCTTGAAACCCTGCTTCTGACAGTTTGAACCACATAGTCAAATGTTTGCTTTTTAGATCTGCCTATCCCAAGAGGAAGGCCAAGATACTTGGATGACTTGTGGATCTGAATACCTTGCAAGAGCTGACAGGTCTCAATTTGCAAATTAGCAGGCACATTTTTGCTAAAGAAAATAGATGACTTCAACATATTAACTTTCTGCCCAGAAATTTTGTGGTAGCAATCAAGAATTCTCAGAACAGCATGAATAGAGGCAATGTCAGCACCACAGAATAATAAGTAGTCATCAGCAAACAGCAAATGTGACAGCCTAACCCCACCTCTAGCAATTCTCACTCCTTTCAGACATCCCATATCAATTTCTTTCTTAATGATTATAGAAAATAATTCAGAGGCCAAAATAAAAAGATGGGGGGACAGTGGGTCCCTCTGTCTGATCCCCCTAGAAGAATCAAAATATCCACAGAGAGCTCTATTGATTTTGATAGAAAAGGAAGATGAAGAAACACATTCCATGACCCAATCTACAAAGATTCTATGAAATCCAAACTGAAGAAGAATGGACATAAGACAGTGCCACCCAAGTCTGTCATATGCTTTCATCATATCAAGTTTAAGAGCAACATGTTGACGAGCATTTTCGGTCAACGGTTAAAAATAAAGAATGTCGAAAGTAAGATCGAAAATGGGAGAAGGGTTCGGTTTAATCACGATTTTATTAAACGATCACGAGGTCGGCCTCTCGTACGAGGTCGGCACTTGCGATATACTTACAGTTCTTACAACAAGTTTCTTACAATTTCTAGAGAGAGAAAGTAGAGAGGGAGCAGAGTTAGTTGGGTTTCAACAACCCAAAATAAATGAAATGGGCTGCTATTTATAGTAGTCTTTAATGTGGCATTGTTCAGCTACTGTTCATTGGTCTTGTCGCACAGTAATCTGACAGAGCAGTTCGGCGTCCGTCTGACGAACATTTAATGCGATTTGAGGTTTCTTCAATCATTGCCTGTCGGGCATTAAATGCCAGCATGGGGGGCATTTAATGCTGGATGGCTTTGCTGACTCAGGCTGGCTGGTAGGGGGCTAGGCCATGATTACCTGTCCCATCGTCCAGTGATGACCTCCCAAGTGGGAATATTTTAATGTTCATTGAGGCCCGCGCGTCGTCTCTGGTCGGCCTCCTCATACTTTCAGGGCGGCACTTCATTCGTAGATGTTCATGAGACTACGAATAATCTCCTTCCTGTCCGGCACCCGTCCAGGTCGGCAACTCTCCGGACTTCAACGGCGCCAGACTGAGAATCTGTTCCCAGGGCAGTTTCCCGCCCCTCTAATCCTCGGTCCAGCTCGGCACTTTCTCATCAGGCCGGGTTCTTGTTTCGATCCGGAGGGGCTGAGTACCCGGTCCAGTCCGGACCAAATCGGTTATCAACACAACATAACCTTGATTACCTGATCTGTGTCTATTTAAAAAATGAATAACCTCATGAGCCATAATCACATTATCAATCAATTGCCTACCAGGAATATAAGCAGCTTGATTCACACTAACACACAAATGAAGGTAAGGCTGCATTCTGGAGGCCAGAATCTTGGCTATGATTTTGTAAGACACCTCACAGAGACTTATGGGTCTGAAGTCACTCAAAAAAAAAGGGTTAATGCATTTTGGAATAAGTGTAATGATAGTGTGATTCCAGCTTTTCAGTAGCATGGAAGACTCAAAGAAGCTAATGATAGCAATGCA